AACAAACAGCTACCACTAACTAGAGTTGGGCTGCTAACCATAAGGTCAGTAGTTCAAGCCCATCAGCCTTTCCCTTATCTGTGGGTTATACTTTCCAAGACCCTCAGTGCATGCTTGAAACCACAGAGAGCAGGGAACCCTACATGTACTACGTCTTCTTCTGATAGATTCGTATTTGTAACAGAGCAATTTGTAGGTCAGACACCGTAGGAGAGGAACAGCAATCACTAATTATAAAATTGAGCAATCATAACTATCTGCTGCAGTAGGAGTTATGCGAGAGGAAGTGAAAAACGGAGGCATCCCGATGGAGTGTTACGCTATTTTCAGACCACAGTTGACCATAGGTGACTGAAACTGCGGGCAGGCGGGATTTACTGTCTACCTGGCCCCCTCTGGAAGTGGTTGTAGTGGGCTGTCAACTGGGGGATTGATGGTGCTGCTCTTTGGGGCAGAGTGGCCTCCCAGGGTTTTCTGGGGATAGCCTTTATGGGTACAGGTGGTTGGGGCTTTCTCCTGTCAAGCAGCTGGGTGGGCTAGACCCACGGAGTATATAACCACTGCATTAAGTGTCATATCTCCAATGTAAGGGTTAGGGTATGTCTACTAATGTGCCGTGGTTTCTTTCTTAACAAAAATTTCCTAGGGTTCAAATTTTGCTGAAAAGATTATCATAATTATTCTTCCATCAACAAATGTTTACTGAGCACAAACTTAGTGTCAAGGATTAGGGCTTCTTAGAGTCTCTGGGTAGCACAATGGGTTGAAGGTTGAACTACTAACTAAAAGGCTTACATTTAAACCCACCCACTCTTCTCAGAGGGTGGGCCTGGCAACCTGGTTATGGAAGATCAAGACCTTGACAAGCCTATGGGCTGAGCAGTCCCTACTCTGCTCACAGGGACTTGCCATGAATTGGAATCAACGTCATGGAAACTACTAACAACAGCAGTGCCATGTATGTGGTGGCGACATGGTCCTTGCCCTCATAGTATTCACGGTTTAAGGGGGAGACGGAGAGAAAGGTGAGGCTCTCTACTCCCTTCAGGAGTCAGTCTTGGAAACCCCCAGAGGCAGTTCCCCCCTGGGCTGCTATGAGTGGAAATCAACTCCATGGTTTTAATGGAGGGACAGGCACTGGACAACTCAACATAAATAGATACGTAATTGCTAACAGTGGTCTATTTACCAAAGGAACAAGGTAAGATCGGTGAGAATAATAAGATAAAAACAAATTTAGAATGAATGTCAGAAAAGCTATAAATAAGGGAGTGACATTTAAGTTGTTACATCTAAAGGGCTTCATATTTGAATACAAATCAATGTTTTCTTTAGGCTCAAGAGGAAAACATATTTTAAAGTTGACTTTCTCCTGTCTGCAGGCTTCCCCAGCAGTATTTGTTATAGCTCTGAGGCTGAGGTTCACTACTCCGAAATCTATCACAGCATGTAAAATATCAATTATTTTCTGATAATCTCTTATGTGTTCTTCAGCCTTTATTTTGTGCTTCCTTTCATACCGGTTCACCTCTCCACACACTAATATCAAATTTTACCAAAAGCACTAGAATATCCCTTTTTTGACAGAACACATTTTCTAGTTAATGTTTTATTTGACAGCTGTGCTACAAATTAAAAAAACTGAAGCTCAAGGCTCTGCACCACTGAATCTGAAGTGTGGCCTGCGAATCATTCCCACTGCTGGGGGGAGGTTTTATTGTTGCCTCTGCTGCTCGGGTTTTGTGCAGAAAACATGATTTATGTCTAAAGAATTTCCTGTTAAAATCCGCGACACCCCCCAGACCAATCTAACAAGAGATTTTTTTTAATTTTGCGTAAGTGCTAAAATATAATTGAATTCAACACTTGTGATGGCTTTGCCACTATATATTACTGATTGTACAATTTTCCCATTCCTTCTCTGCCAAACTTAGGAGAAAATATTTAATATTCTGAGTGGCATAGAAAGAAAACACTTGTCTACCCAAACGGAAATTATTTTAAATAAAACTAGCACCAGGGTTTGTTTGTATACAAGACAAAAAGAAAACTGCTAGAAATCTGAGATTTCTTTCCACAACTTCCCTTCTCAAGTTATGTCCGTCTCACTAAAATGACATTTAGACTCAGCAAGATGTTTTACACACAAACACACAGCAAAAAACAGTCCAGCGGGGAGGTGGAGAAGCAATGGCATTGAGTTTACTATCACACGGCAGACATACAGTGTCCGACAAACTAACTAGTATCTCTCTGACAGGTGATGTGTCCATATGGTAACATGGTAGAAATGCAAAGAGTATCACTATCCAAGTCAGAAGACTTAGGCCAACAGCCCCATTCTACCATTACTGGTTAAAGAAACTTCAACAAGTTACTTACTCGGTCTACACCTTGGGTTTGTCATTGGAAATTTAAGGCTAAGGACACCTGCTCTGGCTACCTCAGTGGACACGGTGAGACTGGAACGTTATCATCACACGTGTAAGAGAATTCAGTCAATTCTGAAGACATGGGAATGGAAGAATCATTTTAATCTGAGTATTAACATTATGTAGAGGTTACAGCTGACAAATAATTGGATGTCAACAAATTCAAAAATAGCTGCAAATGTCAAAGGTCAAGTTCAATATAACTGATGACCACAATTTATGGTGGCCTGGGAAAGGCACAAGCATAACCACTGAGAGTGGACCAGTGGCCGCCTAAGGGTTGAGCACAAAGGGGCAGCTCACGGGGTCTCAGGGGATGAGAGAGCTGCTCTCATCTTGACTGTGCTGCATTACGCATCTTCAAAACTCACACAACTAGAAACAAACAAAGTTAGAAAAATAATTTTCTTGTGTGTACCTTTTATTTTTTTAAATTACTCATAACTCATTTATTTATTTATCATTTAATTGGAGGCTCTTACAGCTCTTATAACATTCCATGTATCAATTGTATCTAGCATATTGGTATATATGTTCCCATCATCAATTCCAAAACATTTTCTACTTGAGCCCTTGGTATAAGCTCCTCTTCCCCCCACCCCCCCTTGTGAATCTTTGATCAATTATATATTGTTATTATTATTTTGTATCTTACACTGTCCGTTGTCTCCCTTCACCTTGTGTGTACATTTTAAATAGATTATTTAAATGCATTAGAAAATTCACCTAAGAAAATCTTGTGAGAGGAAGTAACGAGATTTTAACTTGTTAAGTCTGACAAGAAAGGAACCGTTTGAGATGGTAATGCTAAGTTTGTCATGAGCATACTACTGAAAGGAAAGGTGAATATTTGGATTTTAATATTCAAATTCATAGTAATAAATATATAATTAGGAAAATGAACCAACTCCCACTCCATCTTTAGGAGCATTCTAGAGGAGTTTTAGATTCAGTGGTGAAACAGCTCATAGATGTGAGTATTTAGTAAAAGGCTAATTAATCAGAAAGACTTGAATGATGATTTCTTTTCCCTTCTTGGATCTATAGACTAAAGATGCAAACTATAAGAAATCTAGGTTACCAATTCCAAGAAGACAAAACAAACAAATACTGTTGTTAGTAAAAATCTGTTCTCTGAACCATACATATTCACCAATGTCTGCCTACTCTCTTATACTCACTACCATGGACTCAATTCTGACTCATAGGAAGCCTATGCGTTGGGGTAGAAGGGCCCCTGTGGGTTCCCAAGACGGTGGCTCTTTACGGGAGCAGAAAGGGTTGTCTTTCCCTCGGGTATGGCTGGTGGTCAAACTGCTAACTGCACGGTGAGCAGCCCAACAGAAAGCCATACTCCCTCCTCACCATGTTGGAATACTATCATAAAATATATTCAGGGCAAATGTTGGGTAATCAAAAGCAATATTATTTTCAATATAATATATTAAAGCAAGAACACATGATTGCATTTGTAAAAAAAATTACCAACAAGGAGTCCGTAAGATGATTTACTATGTAATAGCTAATTAACTGGGAATTTCAATGAAAGGGAATTTTCCATTCCAACATTTCATCAAGATTAAATTTATAGATTCTTGCTTTAGTTGAAAATGTAGTTCCGTAGATACATTAAGATCTAATTTTAATTACTTTAAAGCTTTAGCTACTTACATACTGTAAGTTTATCTCACTTTCTAGTAATTCCCCAAATACTTTATGGAGAATTGCTTCAATTTCTCAAAGCTTCTCAAATTTCCTACAGCGAAACACTTCACAGACATGTCCTGGATTGGCCCTTCTGTGGTCATACTGGGTTGAGCTTGGTTTGTCCCTGATGGACAGGCATTCAAATGAATATTTAGACCTATACGTTTATATCTCAACAAGAGTTCCTGTCACACACAAAGTCAGTAGTCAGCTACTTTTCTTCACGATGGGTAAGTTTTGGGGATGGAGACAAAATTTCTACTCCCAAAAGATCCTCTTAATGAGTCTTTGCAAAGAGACATTAAACAGCACAAAAGTGGGGGGCTACCTGTATGTAGGTGCACTAGAAGACTATGCAGATGCGTGTGTGTGCACACGGCATTTACATGCCAAGATGTGCCGTTAGAACAACTGCGCCTGCAGTGGGCAGGTGGCCCGGGGGCAAAAGCTCCGCCAGGACGCTGCCTCTGACAAACCTCCCCAGAGTGAACCTCGTCACGGACTGCAGAGTGGATGACTACCTGAAAGGAGGGACGAATGTCTTCGCTCACTTCTTATTTTGAAAAGTTCAGAATTCTACCAGTTGGGGAAGGAGGAGGATGAACTCGCCGCCAAAATCTCTGAGGGCCTCTTGTAGTGGACCTCGGTTCACAGGTGAAGAGAGCAAGTTACCTGTGTCTGTAGAGTAGACGCGGAAACTCTTATCCCAGAAGCCACAGATGAGGATGTAGCGGTTGTCCGAAGTGATGACGAAGCACTGGGAGTGGACCTGGATGCTCTGGTCCAAGAGGTCCGGGATCTGCCTCCGGTGCATACCGGTGCTGCTGGCTAGAGGACGGAGAGAGAGAAAAGAAAAAGCCACAAAACCGTTAAACCCACCGGGCAAAGGGTTATTTTGGAGGAAGAATGAAAGGAAAGGCTACTTGACCTTTTATTTCAACTATATTTGAAAAACTAAGTAGGAAAATACATTCCATTAGTAAAAAGAATTCATGTTGGTAGCTACATCCAACCATTTTTGTCTAGCGGAAAGAAATCACATAGTACAATTTAAACAGAGTCCACAATTCAGAGAACGTGCACTTGAACTCTTGGGCAGGACACCCAACTAGATGATCATCTCCAGGCTGCCTCATGTTTAGCTTTGCGTTTCTGACAATCTCATTACATCTATTGTCATGAGAACGGATTCATGTTGTGACAATCTATTACCTTTACCGTTCTTGTCACTGGAAGAGATATTAGAATTTCAATGTCATATATTTGAAATACTGTAGCATCTTGTACTCTTCTGGTTTTAATGGGTCTTTAACTTGACTAGATGTGAGTTCCCATGTCCCCTGTTTACAGCTGTAGGAAAGAGTAGAATGACTATTAAAGATCCTTGTAATTGGAAAAGTCAAACACAGCACACTGCCACTTTCTTACTCTTTATTTCAGCAATAAAACAAGACTAGCTGGCACTCTGTTTGCAAGACATCCCCTTACAGTAGGGTATTGGGCAGGAGATGAGCCCGTCAGTGTGCAATGTAGCAACGATGAAAAATACAACTTTCCTCTAGTTCCTAAATGCTTCCTCTCCCCCTCCCCCTCACACTATCATGATCCCAATTCTATCTTTCAAATCTGGCTACACCAGAGGATGTACACTGGTACAGCTAGGAACTGGAAACACAGGGAATCCAGGACAGATGATCCCTTCAGGACCAGTGGTGATAGTGGTGATACCTGGAGGGTGGAGGGAGGGTAGGTTGGAAATGGGGAACTGATTACAAAGATCTACATGTGACCTCTTCCCTGGGGTACAGACAACAGAAAAGTGGGTGAAGGGAGACGTCGGACAGGGCAAGATATGACAAAATAATAATTTATAAATTATCAAGGGTTCATGAGGGAGGCGGGGAGCAGGGAGGGAGGGGACAAATGAGGAGCTGATGCCAGGGGCTTAAGTGGAGAGCAAATGTTTTGAGAATGATGAGGGTAATAAATGTACAAATGTGCTTTACACAATTGATGTATGTATGGATTGTGATAAGAGTTGTATGAGTCCCTAATAAAACGATTTTTAAAAAATGCTGCCAAGCACCTACAATGGGGTTTGTCAGAAGTCTCGAGGTCGGACATCAAGGCACATGGGAAAAGTAATAATCCTCTAGAAATAAACTATCAAATGTGCCGTGATCAGAAAATGGGCTGCCCCGGAGATGCCTATTTTGGCATTATGAGGCCCATCAAGTAGAGAGCTTTGATATACAGAGCTTGATATACAGCAAATTAGAACAAAAGAAATGACCACTTATTTGGTTATTCAGCTCCTTTGTACCCTTAGTCTTCCGTCTTCTGAAGACAAAAGAAAACTACCACCACCACCACCAACAAAAACCAGCAGATAAACACAGCGTTGCACACACCCGGAAATAGATATCTAGCTGAGTATTGTATATGTTGTATACAATAACAAAGCTAATGTGGGCCATTTAGTAGAAAGCTGAGAAATCATATAGGAGGGAAAAATATGTTCAAAAGATGCACTCTCTGGGGCTGTGCTGGAACCGAGCGTGGGGGTACAAAGAGGAAGAACATTCGCTCCCCTCTGGGCAGACACACCATGGCACGCGAGCCAAGGGGGCTCCACCAGGCTCATGGAAAAATCCCGGTATTGTTTCATTCTATTTTCCATGACATTTCTGAAGGCCCTCTCGGGCACGTGTACACAAAGAGAAATACGGACGTGTACCGTTCTGCTGGAGTCTGACACAGTTTCATCTATTTGCGATTGTTCCATAACTTTGATGATGGTGGCCTCCTAAGATTTGGGGGGATTAATGGCTAGAAATCAACAGCAATCATAAAAGGGCCAGGATTCTAGTTCGAGGCCCATTCCCTCCTCCTGCTCACAGGGAGGCTACTGACTGGGGAGATCAGCTGCTGTGGGGAACAGAGGGGACCACTGGGAGCTCTGGTGCGTATTCTCCTCAGAACGTGCACGGAGAAATGCCATCAACTTTTCATTCCATGTGTCCACAAACGTATGGAAGCCCCTCTGGGTGTGTATGTAGATGTAAGTATACAGGACTGCATGCATGAGTGTATACAGCATTATATAGTTATAATTAAATATATGCACTCACACGCACACAATGTCAAGAAACCTAGCAATTAAAAACAAGGTGTGTGGTAATTTCTACACTGTGATTACAGACCTTCAATCTATATGAAATTACCAAAATGGCTGACTCAGTCTCATGAGATAAATTTTCACTGGTCAGTTTTTTGAGCATTCTCTTTGGGGACGCTACCTCGCTGGGATTGGGCCTCTGCATGACTGTTAGTGGAGTCAACTGCCAAGTTCCCAAGGGGGCAGCGTGATGCCCTCTTAAGAACACACATGAATATTTTCCCAAGCAAATGCCTACTTGTCATTTACGACTACTCTCCATTCTAGAACACAAACAAAAACAAAACTAGCTTACAATTGCCTTTCCATTTATCTCCCTGTGTTCTCTGGTAAACTGCTTGAGATTCAATACTAAAAGTATTTTTATTCGATGAAAATTAGGTATATTTTTCTAGATAAGCAGTCTTCAAACGGGGGCACGCATACCCCTGGAGGTACAAGATGTCCCGAGGGATACACAGGCACAGATGGTTTTACAAGAATCAATTTCTAGTCTCTCTACTCTCATATGTTCCCTTGATTTGCCTGAGAGCTCTCCAGTGAGTTTTCCTTTTCTGCTTGCTTTTCCACAGGCCCGTTCTTCCTATGGAGCAAAGAAAGTGGTCCCCTCCACCCCCAACTGACAGTCGGGCTTTGCCCCAGGACATAACAACCCCTTGGGTGGGAAATAAAGGAACAATTCAGAACTCTGATGGGATGTTAAGGATGTGAATGCCTAGGTATCAAATCATTTTGCAAGTCAGGTGATTGCTAATTCATTATGTTCAATAAAATTAAAGGAGGATCTAATTCAAGCTATCAATTGATAGATCACTAAAAATAAGTTCCAATGATAGATTGATAAATGGTAGATATTTTAATGATGAGCCATAAAAATTTTTGAGAGATTACTATGTGTACTTTGTCACATAATTCAGAAAGAGTTCAAAGATTTGAGTGACATTGTTCAAATAAGACCCTTTCCTTTGCTATCATTTCCCGATGTGAGCAAGATTTCCTCAGCGCTTCTGTCTATCTATAAAAACAAAGGAAATAAGAGAGCTGAAGGCAAATCCTTTGCACTCAGCAATAAACAATGTTGACTCATGAACACATGAGCTTAAGGGGTGGGTAGGAGAGAGGAAGAGAGACCCGTTGTATTCATTATAGATGTATTTTAAATAAACGTTTTTTTAAACTGAATGTAAGTTATAATTGGACTCAATGTATATTACATGAAGCCAAATGTTGACGATTATACAAAGCCAGAAATTATAACCTTTGTAATGATTAAAAATGTGTGTTGGAAGTTGTTAGTTGATGGGAAGGGACAGGGTTTCAAACAATTGTTTTAGGGAGTGGAGCAGCATGAAGTCGATGGCCACTGGTTTAGAGCAGCCCAGAGGGCAAGCCCGGCCAGGGCCTGGTTTCCCATGCAGTGTTAGGGAACCAGGCGCTAACTTCACTAAGTGCTTTCCATGACCGCTTTTGGGCTACTCTGGTAGAGCTGATTAGTTGAGTCAGGGACCGTATGGCCCACAAAACCCAGAAGATTTCTTTTCGGTCCCTTTGGAGAGAAAGTTTACTGGAGACTGGTCTCAAGAATGACAATACTGAATTCATTTAGTCAACTTTTAAGGCAAACGATGAGCCAATAAGTTCAGAAACAATGCCTTAAATACTTAGCAAATGGGCTTTATCATCTTCCTGTTTTTTATCATTTTACCCAAATTAGCACTTTATATGTGTGTGTGTGTGTGTGTATACACACACACACACATCAAATCATATCTACTAAAAGGAAAGCTGGATTGAGGGACCAGAATTATATTTATCCTACAAACAGAAAATTGCTTATAGATTTCTGCCCAGATTTGAGTAAATGATAAATGAACTCGTTTTGCGATTTAGGTTATTCTAGTCCATCATGGTCCATCTGTGAATGCTGGCTCTTCCCCTCTTTGCTGCAACAATGGTTTGAAAGCCCCCCACCCTGAAAAAAGGGGGGTGGGTTATATGCAGAGAGAGGGCACACCTTGGATTTAAGAGAATAAACCAGCTCATTTGTATGCTTTATTTGAAATTTTAAAAATCCTAATAAGTTATTTGTGCCAAGGAAATTTGGCAAAACATCAAGCCCGCCATCAGGGAGGTCTCTGTGTCCACAAATAACACAGTTATGCTTTCTATTCTCAAAGTCCTAAGTCGGCTCTTCCATATCAAGGCTTAGGGTTCTGTGGGAAGCCACAGTCAAAATCCCCACACGAGGGTAACAAATGCTAAGCTGGAGGTTTCCGTGAACTTAACTGAAAAGGCATCCCGGCAATTAAATATTGTAAGCCATCCACTGAAGATGCTCATTTCATCAGTGGCTTTTCCTGGGGTCCTCCCTCTTATCCACACGCCCCCACTCCCCACCCCCTAACACAGTTAACCTCCAGTGGCAATTCACTAGGCTGTAGGGTCCTAGGAAAATGAACACAAATGTCTTAACACTGCCACTGGCTGGGCCATATATTTCAACTTGGAGACTGCTCTGCAACCGCACATTAATCCCCTCAGAGTGAACAGAGGGCCCAGGAAGAAAGGATTGATCTCCTCTAATGATGAAATCCTGGCACTACAGTTTTATTTTTCACAACGCGGTGCTGCTAAGAACCCCACTGTTATTATGAAAATTTCCCTAGCAAAGAAGCTCCATCACATTACTGGTGCGCCAATTCATCATAACGGGCCTCACTCCTGCTCATCAACAAGTCTGAGTGATGAAAAGATCCAATATTATCCTGACAGTACTTCATGCGCATTCTCAATCACACATTATTACAGCATCCATATTAATTTTCAGTGACACGCGTCCTAGGCCTGTTCAAATTAGGCAAACCAACGAGGGGGAGTTGATGAAATACCAGCATAGCCACAGCTCATTGCATTCCAATTTGCATGCAAATGGTTTATCAGGAAAATTCCATTCCCAGCAACCAGCAAGTGAAAAACAACTGTAATCTACACTTCAGGGCCACCATACAGCGCCTAATGAATCGCAAAGAGAGGAGGAAGTGACAGACCTATGAGAGGATCGATTTCCACCGGCAGCTGGTATGGCTGGTCTTGTACAGCACCTTGATGAGCTAGAATTCACAAAAGATTAAAAAAAAAAAAAAGCATTATTTTTTTCATATATAAAACTGTATAAAAATGCATGATTCAAAACCTTACGTAGAACTGTTTCCAATCTCCGAATCTTTGATGCAGGTTTGTTAAATTTAAAGGGGAGAGAAAACTCCAGGTGCTTTTATGGCTAGCTTATTAAACATTTATTTTAGATTAGTGCTGTTTGGAACCCGTGCCATCCACAGCGCTCCAGTCCTGGGCCATAAGCCATAGCAGATGCTTGACGGGCAACCTCGGAGGCTGCCACCAAACAAAATGAAGTGGTAAAGCGCGCTGAAAACAAAATGTGACAACCATCTGCTGACTGTAGCAAATACTATTTTTTGGTTACTTCTTAAAATGGCAGTTTTGAACGCAGCAGCACAAAGGATCCACAACAGCGTCAATTTATGACGGAGAAGGGGAAAGCTCAGAGTCAGGGAGCATTTAATGTTTCATCCATCACGGAAAGTCAATCAATTGAAAGTTTGAATAAAAATAAAGAAAGCTCCCCACAGATAGATGTTTCTGTTAAATGCATGTGGCTGAAGTATTTTCCTCAAGACTCAATTGAGGGTTGGTTTTTGTTTTTTTTTTTAGTTTGATGAATATTTAATATTTCCATGGTTTTAATTTAGAAATACTCTGAGAGAAATGTCCAGGAGAGATAAATTTATACTCAGAATAGTTTGTTCAATTCTCAAAATGGCTCTGAAAAGTCCGGTATGCTTCTTTTGGAAGTGAAAAGAGATTTTGTAGGTTCAGGAGTAGAATGTGTACGGAGAATCAGAGGCTGCCACTGACTGGTTCTGTGACCTTACAGCCACGGCCACTGAGTTGATTCTGACTCATAATGACCCTCTAGAGGGGCTCCATGGGTGTACACCTTTACAGGTATTCCATAAGTCTCATCGTTCTCCTGTGGAGTGGCTTATGGGTTTGAACCTCCAACCTTGTGTTTAGCAGCCCAATCCACCCCAAAGACGTACAACTTTAGGCAAATTCTAAACTCTAAGACAAAAGGTTAAGAGAACATGTGACCTCTTCAGATCTAATAGCGACATTCTGAACCATCATCCAAATATTTTCCATTGGTAACCTTTTTAAAAAAAATCATTTTATTAGGGGCTCATACAACCCTTATCAGAATCCATACATACACCAATTGTATATAGCACATTTGTACATTCGTTACCCTCATCACTCTCAAAACATTTGCTCTCCACGTAAGCCCCTGGCATCAGCTCCTCATTTTCCCCCCCTCCCTCCCCGCTGCCCCTTCGTCAAGAACCCTTGATAATTTATAAATTATTATTTTGTCATATCTGACATTGGTCACCTTTTATAGACTCACAAACACTCAAGTTAGTGCTTGGCTAGTATGCGGGATGTGCTAAGGAAGGCCATGGAATGAATTTAGGAAACCTCTCTGACTGACTGTCCTGGAGGTCTGAGCCATCTACCCGGCAGCCCAGTGCTGAACCCACTACCCCACCAGGGCGTACTGTGCTCTTACTTCCAGGAAGACCAGAGGCCATTACAATGAAGACCTTCAGATTTGCTCTCTGCTTCTCTTGATTCCGGGATTATAGAACATTAAAGCAAACTGCCAGTAAAAGATGTGTGAGGTGAACAATCTTTGGACAGGTCTCAAATCCCAATTCTGCCACTAACTGCCTACATGACCTTGAGTCAGTTAAGCAGCCTCGGCGGTTCCATTTTCTGCTTTGTAAAATGGGTGAGGTTGAGCTAGGTGAAATTACCAACGCCTGGCCTTTCTCACCTGAAAACATGGCAATTTCAGGAGCTGATACCAAGGGCTCAAATAGAAAATAAATGTTTAGAAAATGATGATGGCAATATATGTACAAGTATGCTTGATACAATTGATGGAATGTATGGAATGTTATAAGAGCTGTAAGAGGCCCCAATAAAATGATTTTTAATGGCAATTTCAATTGGTTCAATTTAAATATTTAACTACATCTAAGGGCTGTTGAAGCAATTGAGTGAGAAATGTACTGAGAACCTAAATAAATCGACCTGCCATTACAAAAAATGTTAGTTGCTATTTTAAAAGAAATTTTAGAAGGATTTTTTTAGATGAGAAGATAAAAATGATTTTTAATTCTAAACCAAGATCCAGAACCTACTCAAAGAAATGGCAGGAGTTAGCGGTCTAATGAACAAATCACATACCCTTTAGTAAAACACCTAGAATCTTAAAAAAAGAATAACGTGAATTTGCTAGTTAATGCAGAGTAAGTGTTAGGGACTGTTGATGTTCATGTTGATCAAGATATATTGATAAGTAATGGTAGAAAAAGATAAGGATGAAGAGATCAGGTGTATTTAAACAGACTTGAAACGTGACACAGATCAGAAGGAGTGCTTAATATTTTTTGATGTAGTTAAAAATTAGACATCACATTCAAGAATTCAAGTCACCTATAGACTCCCATAGACAAGGATGCTGTCATTTTTTTGTTTATCTGAGGAAGAGTTGCTGTACCATATTGTTCTGGCAAAACGCATGGCTCACTGAAGAGAGTTATTGGCCAAGAATGGGCAGAACCTATGAACGCCCTCATGGGCTCAGCTTATGGAAAGGTGAGCCTGGGTGGGGAACTCCTGGCTGCACCAGTGGTACACCAGTCGAGGCATCTGAGAGCAAAGGCCCTTACAAAAACCCATTGCAGCACGTCAGGACAGAGCACAACTGCCCCTGTGGGTTTCTGAGACTAACTCTTTGTGGGAGTAGAAAGTCTCATCTTTCTCCGTGGAGCCGCTGGTGGTTTCAAACTGCTGACCTTGAGGTCAGCAGCCCAAAGAGTAATCTGCTATGCCATGAGGACTCTTTAAAAACCATACATATTTATAGGAAATATGGTAGTGGGGCAGAAAACATCTGGCTACCAAGTGCTTGTTGTCGTTAGGCGCCAACAAATATGTTCTGACTCAAAAGTAGCCTTTGTACAAGAGAATGAAACACTGCCCAGCCCTGTGCTATCCAAGTACTCAGGGAACTGGGCTTGCTCACACCGGGGAGGGCCAGTAGCTCAGTCACCAGTGCTCACAGAGTGAGCATTACAACGGGACTATCCGCTCATCTACGGTCGAAATGAAAAGCGCACTGAAAATGAGGAGAGAGATTGACACAGTGGCTCACACACAACAGCATTTGGGAAGGTGACGCAGAACAGAGCAGTGCTTCACTCTGCTGCAATGAGTCTGAGCGGACTTCAGTGTGCAACAGCTGGCCTTGCTGGGGCAGAGGCCAGGGCCAAAGCTTTCCAAACTAAGGGTAGAGGGTGAGAGCAAGGCTTCTGCCCATACTTGTCACTGTTTAGCCTGAAAGGAGGCCTTGTTCTCAGTGGGCTGCTAACCCAAAGGTCAGTGGTCTGAACCCACCAGCAGCGCCCTGAGAGATTGATGTGGCTGTCAGCCCTCGTAAAACTTTGTCGTCTTGGAAACCCAAAAGGGCATTTCTACCTTGTCTTGCAGGGTTACTATGACTCAGAATCCACTGGATGGCCGTGGAGTTTGGGCTTGGGTTTACGCTGACGAGTTTTTCAGGTCAGACACAAAGGCACCCAGGATTGGTGTGCTCCCAGTGCCCCCCTCATGAATGCCTGGGCAGGCTCTAACAGCAGGCAGAGAAGGTATAGTAAACCCTGAGTGCATGTGACAGAACACATAGCCTGCAAGCTTCTCATCGAACAAAACGTATTGAAGAAACTCCCAACACCATACTTCTTAAAAAAAAATCATAATCTTTGATCCCAAAATGTACGTATGTCATTTGTATGCACATTTTCCTGTGAGGAAAAACTCATCTGAAGGAAATGGAGTAAGAGGAACTATCATTTAGAGAGGGGGCCTGGTGGTACAGTGGGTTATGTGTTGCACTGCAAACCTCAGGTCAGAAGTTCGAATCTATCAGCTGCTCTAGGGAGAAAGAGGAGGCTTTCTATTCCTTTAAAGAGTTATAGTCTTGGAAACCCACATGGCAGTTCTCCTCTGCCCTGTAGCATTGTGATGAGTTGGAATTGACTTGATGGCAGTAAATTTTTGGTTTATATAATCTAATCTCAGTGTGCGTGCGTGCGTGCGTGCGTGCGTGCGTGCGTGTGTGTGTGTGTGTGCTCACTTTTTACTTATCTTCAATTGTCTTCAAATCTGTTCTCTAGAAGATACTGGCATTCTTCTAGTTGCTTCATTTGCAATGGTCAGGAGGATGACTGTATTTAATAAATTCTGATTCCAACCACAGATTTAAGGGGTCCCTTACTGAATGTAGTCAATACACCAAGTATTTGTTTGAATCTCAATTCAACTTTGCTCAATTCTTTTTTTTAAATCATTTTATTGGGGGCCCAGACAGCTCTTATCACAATCCATCCATCCATCCATCCATCCATCCATCCATCCATCCATCCATCCATCCATCCATCTATTTACATCTGTCGCCATCATCACTCTCAAAACATTTCCTGGCTACTGATGACTTTGCCCAATTCTAAAGCTTGCATTTAATTTGGCACAAGTCTCTTTTTCAAGAATGTGAATTTTTACAATCATTTCATATTATCTAATGAGCTGTGTTTTAAGCACTTCACAAATTTTAAGCACAAGTTAACAGATTATGAAATAGAAATTTTAATGGGGGGAGGGCCTATAATCTCCACTACCTTAAAACATTTTCCCCTGCCTGTTCTTAAAAAAAAAAAAAAAAAAAAATCTAACCAGTGGCCAAAAAGGACTAAATCCAGGGTCCAACATCCCTACTCTCATAAGCGACCATGAATCCCTGGGTGAGGAATCATAAGATGTGAGTTACAAAGTTGAGTCCCAACCTGGCTCTGAATAAGGCAAGGCTGGACTGGTTGAAATCTAATGTCTCTTCAGACTTGCGCAGTTTGTGATTCTAATGGTTATTTTACTGTCTTGCCTTTAGTTAGCATGGCTGTTCAGCACTTAAAGAGCCCTGTGGAAATCAGAGGGGCAGCAAAAAGAGGAAGGCTCTCAACGAGACGAGACGGATTGAGAGCCCTGACACAGTGGCTGCAGCAACGGGCTCCAACATAGGAACAACGGTGAGGCTGGTTCAGGGCCAGGCAGTGTTTCCTTCTGTTGTGCTGGGGTCACTGTGAGTCAGAACCGACTGCACAGCCCTAACATGGCTACGCACGGGGCTGTTAACCAGTAGGTCAGTGTTCAACCCCACACTTGCTCTGCAGGACGGGTGGAGGCTGTCTACTTCCACACACATTTACAGTCTCTGGAACCATCGGGTGCAGTTCTACTCTGTCTTCTAGGGTCAATACAGGTAGGATTCAACTCCAAGGTCGTAGATTTGATTGTGTCTTTTAGTTCTGACGGTGCGGTGGTTAAGCGCCCACAGAGGCTAAAGAAGGTCAGCAGTGTGAACTTGCCTTTTGCTCCCCATGAGAAAGATGTAGACACAGTCCACTTCACTGAGGAGTAAAGCCTTGGCAACCCTCCGGGCGGTTCTACTCTGTCCTGTGAGGTGACTCTGAGTTGGACAGGGCTCTGCAGCCGCGGGTTAGTTAGCACTTAATGGAAAGCAGCATGTACTCAGTGGGTATGTGGCATTTTCTCTGTGTACTTGAAATGCGCTTTTCTTCTACCACCCACACCAAATAGCACGATGCATGTACAGAAACATCCAGTTTCTGGCACATTGTAGACAATCAGAGTGTTTAACGAGTCAGTGGATGAGTGAGTGGAAAAGGGGGAACGTCTGATACATAAAAAGGATGCACTATTTATGGAGACAATACAGAGCATTATTATATTAAAATTTTATATTAGAAACAATATTTATCTCTGAGGAATAAAGACAAACCACTAGATGCCAAAAAATAGTTTATGCTTCAACATTTGTACTATATGGCTCAGATGGGACTTCTCCAAGCCTTTCAAACTATTATTTATTTTGACTCTTACTAATGTGAGAAAATTAAAAGCTCAAAATGTCGAGATATGGTACACTTAAGCAGGGGAGGGATTGCCCTCTCCTCATACGGCATTCAGCAGTTAGTATTTCTTATGATGATATTTCTTTACTTACCGGGAAGGTTGTGCCACTTGTTCACAGCAAACAGCCTATTAGCAGTGACTGTGATCACAGCAGGAGTGGCCAGGCCGGGCTGGGTGTTGGCTGCCACGTGAGTGACAGGGGAGTTGGAGGGAAACTTTAGGACCATGATCACATCTTGCTGGGCTTGGTCTGTGAACATCAACGGGCTCTGCAGGAGGAGATACTGTTGAGTATCCAGATGTACAAGGAAGGCAAGACAAAGAGAGACCAGGAGAGGGGTGCAGGGAGAAAGAAGAGGAAGACCAGGCTAACACAGCTGCAGACACTGGCAGAGAGCAGACAGGCGTGTGGAAGCTGCACTTGAAAACTCGCTTGTTTTCCACGTCTGTGATAAGTGGAACTGTTGGGTGGTTGAAATATAATACATTAATAAATAGACTTCGAATAGTCACAGTTTTCTTCTCGAATGATTTTGAATCCATTTTTAAAGACATAAAGAATTGGGGCTGCAATAAACCCATATTGATGGGTATCATATCAAATTATGATCAAAAAGGGGCAAGAGGCCAGGGAGGGGAGAGATGGAGAATAAAATGAGAATATGTAATAGCCATGAAAGCAAGCCAAAAGTGGTGCTGAGTTAGCATGAAGATTTTTCACATCTAAACAGGAATAATTAAAAGAAACATACTTATAAACAATCGTGAAGACAGTATGCATGTATTATTACAGTTGAGCAATAACTTAAAGACATCATATACAAACTTAATTACAAGGTGTTTTAAAGCAGTGCATAATTAAGTGTACTCTGTAAAAGCAATATTAGTTATACAGTGTAACAAGTCATAAACATTACCCTATTATAATGCAAATTCTACTGCTTCCTGCAGAAGACTGGAATAGAGAAAAATACCTAGACCTTCCTTTCTCTCACTTGCTAAAAACAAAACAACACTAAAGCTCAAGACGTTTGTTTCCCCATTCTGCCTCTGAAGGGTAGAAATTGACATCGTTAGCTGAAACACAGTTCTAGTAATTAGAAAAACAAAAACTGCAAACCCTTGAAAATGGCTATGGCTTTGGGACATTTCTCCAGTCCATAGCTCATAATCCAAGACACATCAGCCCTGCCCTGATTCATGGGCGCTCCTGCCACTTTGCGGTACAGGCTCTCCTACAGTAATTGCACTGAGCATTTTCAGCAATTCTCCTCGACCATGTCTATTTTCTAATAGCTGATTAGTATCATTCAGAATGGAAACACTTTGATGAAGTGCTTCTGGCTGCTTTCCTAGAGCCATATTTCAAAACACCAGGTATACGTGAATGCGCAGGCACATACATTTAACACATATTTATTCAGACTTGCTAATAAAAAATTAAATAAATTTGCATTTTTATTATCAGTCCTTTTAAAAAAGTTATTAAGAGTACTTAGAAAAACATATTGCACTAAGAATTCCTATTTGCACTCTTTGCATAAAGGTGTAAATAAAGGCAACTAATAAGCTACCCAGACACCCTTCTGAGCAAGTGGCTAAAAGCCAATCAATATTATGAGTTAATCCTCCCTGGATGCTCATTCAATTAAAGGTGTCAGTAATGCCTCATCTGATGTGGCCTCAATTAAATCCCACTATCTGATGGTGTGAAAACACAGGGGGATACAGTAACAGCAGCAAAACCAGACAAATAGGCAGCCTTCGTGCGCCTGCTAATTGCTACACCTGGTGTATATTATGGCTCATGCGCTCAACGCAGCGAGGTGGCTTCAATTGCTTCTATGTCTGTGTGCGTGAGTGTGTGTGCTGTGGGGCGCACTGATGGCGGATGGAGTAACTCATCTGAATGCTGGTTAAAAATAATTAATAAACACTTCTGCCTTTGATTTTTAAAGCCCTCACATCAATAATGTACTTTCTGTCACACAAAGGACCCTTTAAACATTTTTTGAAATTCCGTGAAAATGAGAAATCATGAGCAACAAGAAACAAAACCTATATGAAAGCTTTGAAGACGCTCGGGAAAAGGAAATGAATATCATTTCTGGGTAAGAAGCCTTATTTTTTCAATTACATAATTATACAGTATTTACAAAGTCAATTTATAAACTCTGAGAAAATCGGAGTACACCATATATCATAAAGTCTCTCTAAAAAAGAATTCTATACATATATTTGAACTGAACAGCTCATATTATAAATCCAAGTAAGCACCAACTGAATACTTCTATGTGTCAGAAGAATGACTTGTTTGCACAGTGACCCTGGGGATTGACTCCTAGCCAGGTGGTAAGAACCAGTCACTGCACGCAGGCTGCAGACACCATCACTTCTGGAGCTGTTCACCGTGCTCCGGCAACAAGCTGTGAGCTCCAGTCTGATCGACCCACCCTTCTTGACCAGAATTCCCAATGCAGGCAACCAGCAGCAGCAAACTCTCTTGGGAGTGCCATCACATCTTTGACCAATACGTATGGAATGAGAGGTACTAGAAATGAGACAAAGCAACAACTCCACCCCTGTTGCTTAAGTAAAACAACTGGTAAACAGGGCTAAGAGAAACAAGAAACAAACCCTCATCTACTTTTGACATCGCTGCGATCCACGTCAGAGGTGGAAGTGGGAAATTGCTAGATAGGTTTCATTCCACTTTCCCAGGTAGGATATATGCTTACCGACAACTCTCGTTTCTTTCCAACATGCCTTTCTTTCCAAGACCCATGGTTTTATGATCAAAACACAAGTGTGCAAGTTCAGTTGTTCTATTCAGAGACTCGAAAGGATGCAAAAGATGGTCTCCAGAGCCTGCACCTTCTGGGCTGAGCAGCTGAGGGGTGGCAGGAGTGCCCTGCCTTGATTAACTGATCATCTCTTTGCTGTGGAGGGGGACTTGGCAGTGGGAATTCCCTCATTGCCCTAGTGACCAAGACTGTGCAGTGACCCAAGTAAAAAGTCAATGGAGTAGTGGAGGGGCTTCCATTAGCCAGCACCTAAAGCAGCCTGAATATCATTGGCAAGCTATTACTGAAACTCATCCTAAAGCCCAGACATAAATCATTTTTACTATTTTTAGGGCATTATCTTCCACTGCTCTTGCTCAATGTTCCCTTTTTGCATAGTCTCCTGCCCACTGCACACACCCTTGCTCATCTAACCCAATTTGACCTGTGTCAAAACACTCGGGGGAAAGGTGGTGCAAATCACTTAAATGCATTTAATGTACTAGTATGAACAATTCTATAACGAGGGGAGATAAGGGGAATAAAAGCTTAGAAGAAGAAAATGAGATGACAGAGAGGGCCAGAGGTGGGTGGGGTGGTGGGTGGGGACACGCCGAAGTGGGGATGAGAAGAGACAGAATCAGAGACAGGTGGTTTGGCAAGGCCCACATCTCTATCTCTCTGGTCCCCCAGGGCTGCTCCGCGTTCCTTCCCAGTACCCCACAGAAATCAGCCATCTGCCTGCCTAAACAGCCACAACAAAACTCGACTGGATCTTAGAATACTCGCTGTACTTATTGAAATAAGACCTTATATTCTCAGTTCTTAATTTAGAACACTAATGGGCAATCTATTCTCAAGGGGGCAATTAAAAACAACCACTATAAACTGGTTCAAACATCATACACATTTTCATCATGCAATCCAATACTTAATATAGATGATTAAAAAACAAAAAAAAATAGTGTGGAAAAATTTTCCCTCTGAAATTTCTGGAACTTTAAAAGTGGAGAGGCTGTACTAATCCTTTGCAGCTCAAGTATATTTTCCTACCCCTGAGGCTGCCAGTGGGATGTGGCAGAAATGAAGGCTGAGTGTAGGGCCTGCAGAAGCCCTGTCCCTTTGACTGGTCTAAGCTCAAGAGTGAAAGAACCCCCCTAGCTATCCCAGCTGCCCCGACGCCCACCCACATGCACAAGGGAGTCACGGTGAAAGCCCAGAAGAAATGCCTACCCAACCCACAGAATCAGACAACAATCAGTCAACCAATCATGGTGTAAGTCACTATGTTTCTGGTGGCTTGGTACACAGTGGACATCTAAACCCTCCCCTCCTTGTGGTCACTGACTCCAGTAGCATCATCCTGTATATCAGCAGAGGCCACAGTTACCCTTTCCCAGACACTAGGGGAGCAGGCAGTCTTGTGAGCAGCTTGCTGTTAGATTAACGAACAGGGCACCCAAAGAGGTGGGGGGGTGGGGGTGGGGAACTGCCCAGATGTGGTGAGGAAGATTCTCACCACAAAGAAAGGCTGTGGTGAGGGTCTGGAGGGAGCCTGAGACAGAGACAGGGTTGGGGGCAGGGGGGGGGGGGGGGGGGGGGGGGGGGGGAAGGGGGTAGCACTTACCACTTGCATGGCAGAGCCTCTGGGAGGATGGGGCTCTATAAGCAGTTGAGAAGGCGTCTGTCCAAAACTTCGGATTTGAGCTTCAACGGCCTGAAAAAGGCATGGGCAGGTTTGAGGGTTAAGAGGTGCTAATTACAGGCTATAGGACCACAGCTGTTACCTGAAATGTCACTCTATCCTTCTGGCTTGTTTCATGTTGAAAATCAACCTTGTGTGCTCACAGTGGGGCCAAGCACCTGGCAAGGGCGTTAAGGGTGAGGTCATCCTTTAGTACTGTGAAAGCTGTCCCCAGAAAGCCCCCCAAAATGTTTGCCTCTTGCTCGGTGGCATGAAACAGAAACCAGCCGTTACAATCGGGGATTGTCCTTTATGGCTTCATCTCCGTTCTCTTGCTTTCAGTTCTCGGGTTTGCATCACCGATGGCTACAGGCTAATCTTGTACAGGTACAGAGAAAACCTACCGCTGCTTTGATTCTAGGCCCCGGTTCATCCTGGGAGGTGGAGAGGAGGGGAGGAGAAAACGGCTTGGTGCGATATTATTTTTGGTGACATAGGAAGAGCATTACTGTTGACAGTCTCTTTGAACCAAGTGGCCAGACAACAAAGTGAAAGCCATATGTTGTACCCAAGCAGGAGATGGTTAAACTGGGGACTGACTGAACATGAGTGTGTGTGTGTGTGTGTGTGTGTGTGTCTCCCCTTCGTGGAAAGATGTGTGCATGTGCCTCTGCCAGCCACTCCTCACTATGGCTCTCCCTTACACAGATGCTCACTCCCCACCCCCCTCCTCTCCATGGGAAACTGCTCACACCAGATGCGATCACTACCTTTAATTATTTGTTTGCTTGCCTATGTGTCTCTCCTCGCTAAAACATAAGCTCCACGAGAGCAGAGGTCTTGCCTGTCTTCTTCACTGCTAGATCCCCAAATAGGGAATTAATAAATACTACCATGTGTATGTGAGGAGAGAGGAGGCAAAGACAGAGAGAGGCTATTTCACCCTCCCACGACCGTCAGTATTCTTAACTCCCTGGCTGAAAGGACGGAGAAAACCCTTCAAAGTCATAAGAGCATATTTATCATGCTTGTGTTTTAATCCCCGAGAAAATATGCCTTTAATTTTTACATGCACTGCATGACCTTCAAGCAGTAGGAAATTAATAAGCCATCAACAAGGAAATGCAATAATCACTATCCAGTAATAATTTCCCCTTTTAAAAATGATGCTGCCACTAATAGTACTTTCACAAGAACTTTACAGTGAACAATGATAGCATTCACCAGTTACACAATCAGTGACCATTCCCTTTGTCCACAGCACTACTAGGGTTTACTGCCCCTGACCTTGGAGAGTCCATTCCTAACACACAAAGCGCTAAATAACTGCTTGATGCAGCGCATGACTCTGTGCATGGCTTCCAAAGGGGTTCTGTCCAGTGAGCCAAATGAATGTTCCTGATTTGCTTAGGCAGAGAAGACAGAAAAGCACCTCGCTGTGCAGACTGGGAGCAGCCTGGGCTTTGAGTCAAAAAGATCATGTGTTAACCCTGAATCCAAACCATTTGGAGTTACGGCCTCTAGGGTAAGCCATTTAGCCTCTTGACTTTTCAGCGTTTCCCCTTATAAAATCCGCATAGCAGTATCTTATGAAATGAAGGATTAGACGGTGTGTTTCAAAGAGCATAGCAAAACGCTCAGCCTGGATTCCACCCACTGCCACGAAGCTGCTACAGGACACAACAGAACTGCTCCCTGGGGTTTGAGGCTGTAAATCTTGATGGAAGAAGATAGCCTCATCATTCTCTCTTAGAGCAGCTGGTGGGATTGAACTGCTGATCTGGTGGTTAGTAGCCCAATGTGTACTCAGCTACGCTACCAGGGTTCTTTTGGCACAGAGCATACAGTAAAAAATATTTATTGAAAGCAGCTAACAACAATAGTCAGAAATATTATGTAGCAGGAAATTTTCTAAGTGATTTCTATCCTACATAATTTCATCGTCAGACTTCAAGGAGCCCTTGTGGTGCAGTGGGTTCGACTGTGGGTAGATAATCACAAGGACAGTTCAAATCCACCAGCTACCTCCAGGAAGAAAGAGGCTGGCCGTTCCAGTACAGAAGTACAGTCTCAGAAAGTTAAGGAGCAGATCTATATGAGTCAAAACCTACTCGATAAGAGTAGGTTTGGATTACCAATTGATCCTCAAAGTTTATGATATGAGTACTTTACTTACATATGGGTTCATCCCCAACCACGGCCAATGAGTCATCAGAGTGATCCTATAGAGCAGAGTGGAACTGCCCCACAGCATTTCAAAGGCATAAATCTTTGTGGACGCAGACTAACACAATTTTCTCCCAAGGACCAGCTGATGGGTTTGAACTAGCTTCCAAGTGCTTTAATCGCCATGTCACCATTGATCCTTATTATGTCCCAGGTCATACATTAATTAGGCGTCATAGTCAATTATCTGTACCCAAACCGCTAGGCTGCAGCGCTCATGTGATGGGGCTTCAAAATGTTTGTGGATAAATAGAATTTTTTGAAGGCCCCTCACAATCACATGAACCTATCCTTTTTCTTATCCTGCCTTTGGGAGGATGAACACAAACAAAATAGTCATTTACAATCAAATGAATGAGTATTTCCTATCATCATCATTACAGTGAGTACAGCATGTTCAGAGAGTAACATAGGTGGACAATGGTTCATTTTAAATAGTGGGAGATATGACTGGCCCTAGAAATTGCCGTATATATTCAAGTATAAGCCCACCCAAATATCAGCCGAGGCACCTAATTTTACCAAAAAACTGCATTAAAAATGTGCTGGAAAACTCAGCTTATACTCGAGTATATACGGTAACAACAAGAACAGAAAACAATAGGAAGTGGAGGACAAAGACTAGGACCACCTTTAAAACATCATCTAACTAGAGATAGTCAAATGTGAAGAAACCAGATGGTGCCCAACTATCAAAGAATGGCAACCAAGTTTTAAAGGGTTGTCTTAATTAAAACAAGCAGCCACCTAAGTGAGATAAATCCACATGGAAGAAGCATCCCAGCCTGTATGATGCATGGATTGTAAATAATATAATCCAAGACTGGAGGGGGTAACTGTATTAGAGCTTAGATTCTGAGTACCCAGTTTGCAGAAGGCTACTGATGACAAGGAAAGCTCGAAATCCATTTGCAGGGTCCCCGTGTAGACTTACCATACAGAGAATCCCTTTGACTACCAACCAGGGATGTGAATTACCTTGCTATCAGATAGGATACATCAGAAAGTGGATTGCACTGAGGTAGCTAAGATTTAATACTTTATCATTTGTTCTCCCTTTCGACCTATTTGAAATGTGCTGTAGTTTTTATTATTTTCTACTTTTCTTTTGGAGTGAGGTTTCATGGTTTTATTTTGTGATTGCTGTTAGGTTTGGGGCTGTTCTTGTGTGGTACATTTTTCTGTACATGAAATCCAGGATAGGTGAGTCTACAGAGGCAGTAACTGAACGAGTAATTTCTTAGGGTTTTGGCCGGTGAGGTTGTGGGGAAGTGGGGAGCTAATAATAATGCAGACAAGAATGAAGAAAATGTTCTAAAATTGATTGTGCTGATGATTGCACAACTCTTTTTAATATTGTTAAACCACTGAATGTGTATGGTATGTAAATTATGTCAGTAAAACTGTTAACATTTTTTTAAACTTAAAAATTTTTTTTTTAAATAGCATCTAACATATTTTGATGAGGATAAAATCAAACCCCAAACACCAAAATTATAATTAAACACCAAAAATGATCTTGAGGAAGAAATCACGAAGTGGCAAGCTGAAAGTTAAAAGGCAGTCACAAAGAGAGAATCGGCTCTGTTGTTTAATGATAAATGGATTTATGAACTGAATTTCTGAAAATGAACCCTAAGCTTCTGTCAAGAACAGCTGGCAAAGGCAACGTTCTTTCCCCCAACTATTGCCTTCTGTGGCCCAACATCCAAAAAGCCTCCTCTCCAGTGATGGAGGTGGTGGTAAGGAGATTGGCTTCAACACTTAGCCTTTGGTGGCTCAGACTGAGAATTCTGAGCTCAGTTACTTTTCCTTTAGACCTTGGGCAAGTTCCTTAATTTCTTTTTCCTTTGTCTATAAAACACAGCAAATAACACCCAGCTTATAAAATCACGGGGAACAGAGAGATAGCTGAACACTCTACAAAATTGGCTTTGAGGATCTGAAGGCTTGGAACCTTAGTCTCCTGGGCAACTCAGCTGAGAGCCTACATTTCACATCATGTATTGTATGTTCTGCATCCCAATGTGCAACATCTGGGGCTTTAAAAGCTTGTGAGTGGCCATGTAAAATGACAACGACTGGTCTACTCAGCCAGAACAAAAGAGGAAGAAGGGCATGAGACTCAGAGAAGAAACTGGTCTATAGGGCTTGTGCTCTACACAAACCACAGCCTCATCTACCATGAGATCAGAAAAAACGCGGTGGTACCTGGCTCCCATGACCAACTGTTCTGATCAGGGCCACAATCAGTGAATCCTGACAGAAGGGGAGAAAATGTGGAGCAGAACTCACAATCTTAAAAGCTCAGACGCACTGGTCCACTGAACTGGAGGACTCTGCCGGCCTGTCACTCTGAAGTACTTTTTACCTAAACCCAAACTAACTCACGGGGTCGCTTCTAACCTAAGCAGGGGATGGGTGCATAAAGTAAAGAATATCACCGGGGAGAGTGAGCCCCTTTAAAAGAAGTCCTCTGTATGGGAGCACGTGGTCGAACTTGCTCCAAAGCACAGACGAGAAGGGAGCAGAGAAACCGGCACATTGGGAATGGTACAACCAGAAAACAGCATCAAGGAATAATCTGTGTAGAAAGTGTTCAATGGGAACACAGTTTGCTGCGTAAACTTTCATTATTTCAGAGAAGATAACATAGAAAGCATTTTGCACAATGCTGAGCGTGGAAGCAAGCACTGAATAAGTGTTATGCTATGTTTGGGACCCAAAGTGATCCCCAACGACACTGATGAAAATAAGAAAGGAAATGCTTCAAGATTTTATGTAAGAAAAAAATGAAGAACCCATTC